ATGTACAAAATTAAGGCTTTGAGTAGCAACGATAGCAAGCAGGATGCTGATGATCTCTTCAAGGTGTTTTCGCTTATTACGAATTTCATCGTATAAATTATGATTTCTTTCATATTAATTGAATCACACTGTCTGGGTTAGCCGGGACCTTTTCCTGAAGGTGGGTATTTTATGAAAAGAAAATTTTTCTTCGAGGAAACAAAGTGATTAAAATTCTTGACTATTTTGAGAGGTGCTTGTGGAGCATTTCAGCAACACACGATTGCCAGCTTGGTTATTCGGATGTCGTGGTATTTTTGATATAAGAAACATTTTTTTAATGCCTTTCCCTTCCCACTTTCCCAGTTCCAAACAAATTTTGATACCTATTTTCTTCAAAATACCACGCGTTTTTGCTCTTTTAGTTTTTTCGAATAGTCAGTATAAATGTACTATTTTATATAACGCATTATATAGCCCGTGATTTTTTTTGCTTCTATGTTATGTATATGCCTGTCACGAACGAAGCCTTTTTTGCAAATGAGTGTAGACTCAGAAAGAATATAATCACTCGTCTTCATACCGAACACGACATGCTAGACTTTGCGCACTCATTGGAGCGGCTGTAATCTGAAATTGTGCACTTTTTATAATCCTTCACAAGCACTACATATTTTTCTTCCATTATTAATGGCTTTTTGCGAGACTTCCACAGCGACGCTTGCTTTTAATAAAGCAAACGAACGTTACAGCCACCAGTAAGCCAATCATCAGATGATGCAACATTGTCCACGGGCGCTGGAAAAATTGGAGGATCGCAGCTGATTAAATTGTACCGTGGGAATCGCATTGTAAAAATTTTGAGTGAATTATAAAGAAAATTAGAAGTTTGAAATCAATTTTCAAACTTTTTTTGTTGAAAAACTCGAAAACCAAAAAAGTTGAAAGATACCTTTTGGTCTTATCTAACTGTCCCGCTGACCATTGGTATTGACTGTCCCACCGACTATTAGTAACTGCTAATTAACTATTTTTAAGGGCGATTTGGTTATGATGGACATTGATGGCGGTATATTTATGCCTCAGCTTACAAAGCTGCTTGTGGCCAGTGAAAATGTTGATTATAAAGCAAAGCAAGCGTATGCGTTGTGTGAAAAACTTTTGATGCCCAGAAAGATAGCAGCAAATTTGGCCACAAAATTTACAGACGCTCTGGCTGCTGGTCCGGGACCACGTGCAGACGCATTGCTTCAGAAAGTTTGTTTTTAAAAATTCATTCAATGACATGAGCTGGGACCTCTTGAGGGCTTTGTTTTGTGGAAAATTTTGATGTGCGAGTATTTTTAAAAAGAAAAACATACCGGCGGATGGTGATATTTTTAGCTGACTGGCCTAGCGTCTTGGCAAGCAGAACTATTGTCGTGTTAAAGGTAGAGGATTCCGGATATTGAGATAGCTAATCCCTTTGCGATTCATTAATTCATTTCGATGGTAAACTAGTAATGGCACGTGCCAGGGGGTCAGGGTTGCCACCAGCTTTTTTATGAGAAGCCCTCGTGATTTGAAACCATCGCGAGCATACCCTTTTAGTTTGTTTTTGAAGAAATGAATTTGTTGCCCTGAAATAAAAAAAAAAATTTCTAGGCAGTACTGTCGTGGCTAGCTACTCTGTTGTGGCCCTATAAAAACTGTGGCTTCTACTCGGCGTTTGCTGC